TAACATGTTTTTTTTTTTTTTTTGTAAACATAAATATGCATATTTTTTAAAATATTGAAAAAAAAATTTTGGGTGGTTTTAACATTTCCAAAAGTAACTATATCTTAATTAAATATATTAAAACATGTATGGTTTCAAATTAAAATATAAGTAAAATAAAATAAAAAAGTCCTCAAATGAGTTTTTAATTTTTTATTTTTCAGAACGATAAAAAAACTAAATATTTTGAATCTTTTTAAAAATAAATTCACTTTTTTTAAAAGCAAAAAAAAAAATTACGTGTCACAACTCATTTGTATTTGTCTTGCACTTAAACTTTCTTATTTACATACATACATACATAGCATTTTGATATTTTAAATATAAAACTATGCATTTCATATTTAAAAGTGATAGAAATGCTATTTATTATGTAATATTAAAAATATGAATGTTGTGTAGCTATGAATGCAAATATAAAAAATTGTATGCTATGCATATAAATAGGGGTGTAAACGAGCCGAACACGAACGAACAAAGCTTGTGTTCGTGTTCGGTTCAGCCTATTTTTGTAAGTAAAAAAAAAAAATACATAAATAAAAGAAAAAAAAGTGTTCCCAAATAAGCTCTAAAATAACTGAAGGCCATCTTATTTTTGGAATAAAGTATAAAATGCCAAGTAAAAAAGAGAGATTATACGAGAGAGTTGCCAATGAAATTAGTAGATATTGAAGAGTTTGTGCTCATCCGTGTATGGTCATTGTGATATATAATTTAGTAGATATTGCAGAACAAGCATCAAGCTTGGGTTCCAAGAAAGACCCTCGCTATCATTGAAAGATATATATATATATATATTTATTAGATGGATGATATAAGATTATAATGTTTTGGTCAATTCTTTTTAATAGATTTTTGACGGAGAAATAGATGGTCCTCCCTAAACTTGGACATTTTTCATTTATACATATATATCTTCCATTTTTTACAATTTAGTCAGCATTGTTGTCTCGTACAGCAAACTTTGAAGAATCGAGTCTACATGTGTTTAGAAATGGCTGCTTGTAACCCCAATCAATAAGCCAAAATTTTAACTCGGATCGAAATCCCATCAAAATAAAAGAGGTGAATCTGCTTGAATTGTATTTTATTTATAAAAATTATATATATTGTTAAATAAAATTGAATATACCAAGCTCCGAACCAACTTTGAGATGCAATGCATCCAAATAAATCAATTTGAGCCATCTTGTTTTGATTTCGAGTTTCATCGAGCCAACTTCAAGCTAGAAGGGATCTAAATTTCGAGCCTGATTGAGCTTTGAATTAATTTCGAGTGGAGCTATCTTGCAAACGAACACAGCAAGCCGCGAACCGAGTTCAATCCGATTGAGCTATTTTCAACCGATCCAAACTCGGCTCAAAATCTCTCTTAACAACACACTAAAAAAACAGCAAGATCTTTTCTTTAAATATAGGATTTTTAGAGAGTGAGGATTTGTTTGGGGAAGATGTAGCTTATTAATAAGCTGATGCGCAGCAGTTTTGGCAGGAAGCTGCCACGAAAAAACTGGCAGTTGGTTTGGTTTTTACAATCTCAAAACAGTTGTGCTGCAGTTGTTTATGAATAAGTGACATTTTGTTCCGGTACATTAGTGTTATTTATAACTGAACTGTTCATATTAGCAAGTTTTAATTAGCACGTTTTATGCCTGAAAACAATCATCCAGTTTGAACATTATAAAATAAAAACAGACAATTCACAAAACATAAACCCTTTTTTATCCCAAAACTTTTTTTTTATTTGAACTTTATGCATTATTTTTTCCCCAAAGTATTATTCAGTAGTTAACAAAATTTCATCCAGCAAGCACCATTTACATACATAACACATAATTCTAATGAATTTACATATCTCACACAATAACT